AGGTGCCAGATGAGTATGTTAAGCAGTGAGTACTGTCACCAGTCACCAATTAAAATAACCATAAATAACTGGACATTCCTCACTGAAATAACTGGTAATAGCATAAGCACTGCATTACCTTTCAGCAGAACTCTACAAAGGAGCCATGGCCTCTGCAACATGTTGATCCAATCTGGAAAAGGGACAGGGAAAAGACTGTTCCCATCTCCTTTCCCAGACCACACCGTCTCATTATGTTACTTTTTGTGGTGGCCCTCCTGAGGATCTTTTCCTACCTTTAAATCCCAAGCAGCACTTCAGCAATCCCTTTTCTGGTGTCCCCCTCCCTCTCTATTAGCACAGATGCTCCCAGAGCATCTAGTTTCTGACTGATTTTGTGGGTAACTCATGAAGCTGGCAGCCTCACCTTCCAGATCCCCTGTCCTATTAAAATACTAAATTTGGTCCACTGTGCTTCAGGCATGCATTGGGAGCTTCTCCAGAGCAGGGGTAAGGGGAGCTAGAAATGCAAACCAAGAAAGCAGGACTGTGTAAGGTCCTCTGCTTGTGTCCTTGGGGAAGCCCTCTTAGTCCTTTGCTTAAAAAAATTACAATCAGGAAACTACAGGGCAGCTAATCTAATGCGTAACCACAAGGTAAGGAAGTGTGTGTTTTAATGTGTGCCTTCAAGCTGAAAAGTAGTTTGTCTTTCAGTGCCAGAAGTGAGTAAATACTTTAAAGTTGTCTGCTCTCATCTTTCCAGGAAGTCATTATAAAGTTTAAGTTCAGCCTTTTTTCTGTTTGATAATTGCAATCAAATTTACCTGTAGCCAAATTGATTACATTAGCTTGTTTTTTTTTAAACATGCAAGCATAAAAGTTCTGGTGTGTATTTGAATAAAAAATACAAGTTCAATAATAATAACAAAGTAAAATACAGACTTCAAAATATGAATCCAAGCACTGTGATTTATCTTGGAAGAGGAGACGAGTAACGGGATTGTAGTAGAAACACGTGGCCCCTGTGTTGGAGCAAACTCATCCTCCCAGCCCAACAGTTATTCAGAGAAAGAGCCAAGTGACACAGTTTAAATAACAACTATGCTAAAATTCTCTTTGGTTTAGCATTTTGCAAAAGGAGGTTGAGGTTATGACAAAAATGCATGCACTTTTAAAGTATGCCATATATTGATATCAAATATAGTATTTACAGTACCTGTATTCTTTTCTAGTGAATATTCTTTACAGCAGTGAAACATCTTTAGGACCCTAAAATTAAACTTCTTGGATCTCAGCGAGTTCACTCGTTTTGCAGGCTTGGACCACACAACTTTTTAGTTTCTTTAACTTTTTTTCTCTTTTTTTTTTTTTTTTTTTTTTTTTAGTTGGGGAATGGGAAGGATATCTTATGTGGGTTTTGTTGTGTTTTTTAGGGGTTCTTTAGACTTTTTGTTTTGTTTTGTTTTGTTTAGTTGTGGTGGTGTGTGTTTTGAGTCTATGTTATCTGCTTTAATATTCAGCCACTATTCACAATAGCTGCCTCTAACACTTGCCCCAAGACTTCAGCATGCACTTAGGGAAAATAATATTGTGCATCAGGCATGTGCTTGTGCTACTGATGGGGCTGCACACATATGTGCACACACAGAGGGTCTCTCTGCCTTCTTGTCCTTTGTGGCTATGAGCAGGGGATGTTTTCATCTGGGAGGGGGGTTTAATAGACATTTTCCAGTATTACCAGAACAGGCATGCTACAGATAAGATGCTTGTGTTAGAGGGATTTATCCTGCTTCCTCGGTTACTCAGAGAAACCAGCCGCTCGAATCGGGCTGCATCAGATCCAGACACTGCTTATGAAATAGCATATGGTTTAAAACCCCAGCTCTTCCCTCTACTGCTCACTCAGTCAAACAAAATATTTTTTATTGTTGTTTCTTGACTTTTTCTTTTCAGACACAATTCCTCTAGGCTATTGTTATTTCAACAAAAGAGGGGGAAGATAGGCTCAGCTTGTTACTCTGTGGCTTTCTGGTGAGGAATTAAGAAATACTCTAACAGTTTAATAATGATAATCTCCAAATAGTTCATAACAGCATTAAGGGTAATTAATGACATTTGAACAGTAAGGATACTTAATCCCTAGGGAAATATTATATCCACAATTTTATTTACCTCTGAAGTTGTTTTAAAGCTAAAGGAAAAAAAATCTGTTTTTAAAATGGTTTCATATTTGCACTGTTTCAGATTTTATCTTCATTTATTCTAAGTAAATAAAAATAATATGAGGTTTTGCTAATAATAAAAACTGTATTCCACATTAGATTTACCATTAGGTTAAAAATAAAGAGGAATTTGTATGTTTCTTCTTGAATTAAGATTTTCTGAAAATTATAAATCACCAGTGATGCTCTGGTTTACAAAGAAGGATAACTTCTTCTAAAAGACTGACATGTTTACATTTAAAAAAATTTTTGATAGCTTTTAGAGGCATTAAAAGAACTTAAATAATTTTGATGATAAATGTTATGTACTGTAGCCTTTATGTTTTAGTAGCATTTTTTTTCTTCACATAGCTGACCTCACTAAGACTTTTAAAAATGCTATTACAACCTTTTACGTTTTCACAATTTTACAATGAAAGGAAAAATAACTCCTCTGGTAGTTTTCAAGATAATACTTGAACTAGCCTGATTCAGATGTTTAGGTTTCAAAAGTCAACAGAAGGAAAAGGGTTTAGTTGGCCTTGGGTTTCAAGAATAAATAAGGATAACACCTGATTCAAGGCAGGAAGCTTTAGTCGGGGTAAATATACTGAGAGAACCAGTGTGTCGATCTAGTTTAGCATTTGAATGCAGCCTCTGTTCTTTTGGTTATGCTCTTGAGCCTGTTTCTACTTTTGGCTTTTACATTCCACAGAACTTCTGTAAAATCAGCAGGGACAGTGCTAATAAATTTATAATGTTGTTTTGTATTTCTGAACATAGTACCTCAGTAATTAAGTGAAATATTTATGATGAATATAAAACAATGCAAATTCATTTGTTTGCCTGAAAGCTAGCTTGTTATTTATTTAGATTTATCTTTGAATGATTCTTTAAATTGAATCACAGTATGAATGAGAGTGATATTTAAAGCAGAGAAAATTTGCTATAGTGTACTGATGCATTGCACTCTATTATCTAGTGTTAAAGCTATTCAGATGATTAAAAAAAACCCAGAAAAGAAAAAAACACCCTTCTTTAGCGTTTTTCTTGTAGAAATTCCACAAGTTAGATCATTTCCCAACAGCTGAAATCTTTAATAAACTTTATGCTTTGTTATAGTTAGCTGTACATGCACAGACTGGGTCTTGAATTATAGCACAGGTAGGAGTAGGTTCAACATAATGTGATCTAATTTTTACCTCAGTTGGCTGTATTTTAATTCATGGGCAACTACTTCCAGTTGTTTAGTTTTTTTTTTTATTTACTATATTCAATCCTTTAACCAGTTCTAATCCAATTAATGTAGTGACGAAACGAAATGCTTGTGCAAAGTGTCACTTTGCTGATGATTATGAGCTATATGGTTTACTTCATTTGGACTTTTTTTCTCCTTCCCTAATTAAATTTTTTTTTTCCAAAAATAACTTCCTTTGCAAATATTTTACTATTGCTTTCCTTATCTTGCTGTTTGACAGTCATCATTTTTATGTCATGACTAAGGAATGCTTATCTTAATGTAAAAAAAAAGGAAAACATTTTTTTTTTAGTTTAGTTTAAAAAGGATATTTTATTTCAAAGCTGCTATGTGATAAAGTGTTACACATCCACTAATAAGAGTAGTTATAGTATTTAATCTGACTTGGATGGACTGCTAACGTGCTGAAAAATTTTTGAGACTCATAGGTGGGAAGATCCCCCAAGATTTTGGAAAACTTTAGCAGTGTATGGGATGCACATATCTTCTGTTTCTTGTTTGGTCTTGGTTTTTACAAAACAAACCCAAGCAATCAGAGGTGACCACCTCTTACATGAGTTGAAAAATTATACCCCCCATAAGATTCTGTCTTACCCAGGTATTGGTTATAGACTCAACAGTACTTGGGGAAATGATGGCCATTACTTGGAAGCTTTATTTGATGAAGCATACTATTCCTATGCTTTGTCATCATTTTATGTTTATTTTGAAGCATAAAAATGGATTTTAAAAATAGCTTTGCTTCAATACGTGAAGACATCTAGGTTGCTATATTCAGACAGAGAGAGGGAGTTCCTGGATGTTAGCAAAAGTGAGACTGAGTTTCTACCTTATGGTGTCTTATGTTGCCACCAAATGTGCTGCCACCAGAGCACAAGTACTGTGATACATGAGCAGCTGGGGACGCAGGAATGAGCTGTGTATGACAGTGCTGATCTGCACTGTGTTCAGCTCAAGGTGAAGGTAGGCACTTGCGAGGATTTGCTGGTAGACATTTCTAGTTGTTTGTTGGCTTCCCAATAGCTCAAGAGGGAGACAAAAGGAAGACACTTGGGCCCTTTCCAGAAGAAAACGTGAGACCTGGTTACTGGGTATATGAAGAATACTGAGGAACACAAAGAATTTTTACCTTGACCTTCACCAGCAAGTGCTTCAGCCACACTGCCCAAGTCACAGAAGGCAAAGGCAGGGACTAGGAGATTGAAGAACTGCCCACTGTAGGAGAAGATCACATTCAATACCATCTAAGAAACCAGAAGGTCACAAGTCCATGGGACCTGACAAGGGGCATCCGTGGCTCCTGAGGGAACTGGCAGATAAAGCGGCCAAGCCACTGTCCATCATATGAGAAGTCATGGAAGCCATATGAAGTTCCCACTCACTAGACAAGGGGAAGCATAACCTCCATTTTTAAAAAAAGGAAAAAAGGAACACCTGGGGAGCTACAAGCCAGTTGGTCTTACCTGAGCAAGATCATGGAGCAGATCCTCCTGGAAACTATGTAAGGCAAATGGACAATGAGGAGACTGAGAACCTGCATGGCTTCACTAAGGGCAAATCATGCCTGACAAATTTGGTGAACTTACAGGTTTCAGCACTGGTGAATAAGGGAAGAGCAACTGACATAATCTACCTGAACTTGTACAAAACATTTGAGATTGTCAGCTATGGCATTCTTATCTTTAAAAGGGAGACACATGGATTTGACAGATGGACAACTCGATAGGTGAGGAATTGACTGGTTAGTCACACTCAAATAATTGTGGTCAACAACTTGATGTCCAAGTGGAGATCAGTGGTAAATGGTGGTCCTCACGGGGTTGTACTGGGACTGGTGCTGTTTAACATATTTGTTGGTGAGATGGGCAGTGGGATTGAGCATTGTTGGCCTCAGCAACTTAGCTGACAACACCAAGCTGGTGGTGCAGTTGACACACTGGAGGGAATTGATGTCATCCAGAGTGACCTTGACAGGCTTGAGAGGTGGGCCTGTGTGAACCTGATGAAGCTCACAAGGCCAAATACAAGGTCCTGCCCATAGGTTGAGGTAGTCTCAAGCACAAACACAGGCTGGGTGGAGAATGGATTGAGAGCAAACCTGAGGAAAAGGATTTGTGGGGGTTGTTTGACAAGAAGCTCAACATGACCCAGCAACGTGTGCTTGCAGCCCAGAAAAACAACTGTATCCTGGGCTGCATCAAAAGAAGCATGACTAGCAGGTTAAGAGAGGGGAATCTCTCCTTCTGCTCCGCTCTAGTGAGACCCCATCTGCAGTACTGTGGTCAGCAATGGGCCTCCAATGTAAGAAGGACATGGACCTGTTGGAGTGACTCCAGAGGGCCACAAGGATGATCAGGGGACTGGAGCACCTCCTGTATGAAGATAGGCTGAGAAAGTTGGGGCTGTTCAGCCTGGAGAAGGCTGCGTGGAGACCTCATAGCAGCCTTCCTGTATCTGAAGGGGGCCTATAGGGATGCTGGGGAGGGACTCTTCATTAGGGACTGTAGTGATAGGACAAGGGATAACGGGTTCAAACTTAAACAGGGGAAGTTTAGATTGGATATAAGGAAGAAATTCTTTCCTGTTAGGGTGGTGAGGCGCTGGAATGTGTTGCCAGGGAGGTTGTGAATGCTCCATCCCTGGCAGTGTTCAAGACCAGGTTGGATGAAGCCTTAGGAGATATAGTTTAGTGTGAGGTGTCCCTGCCTATGGCAGGGGAGTTGGAACTAGATGATCTAAAGGTCCTTTCCAACCTTAACTATTCTGTGATTCTATGATTCTAAGACAGGCTGAGGGAGTTGGGCTTGTTCAGCCTGGAGAAGAGAAGGCTCCATGGAGACCTTTTCAGTACCTTTCAAAGGGGGCCTACAAGAGAGCTGGAGAGGGAATTTGTATATGAGAATGTAGGATCAAACAAGAGACAGTGGCTTTAAAATGAGAGAGGGTAAATTTAGGTTAGACAAAAGGAAGAAGTTTTTCGCTGTGAGAGTGGTAGGACGCTGGCACAAGTTGCCCAGAGAAGCTATGGCTGCTCAGTCTCTGGCAGTGTTCAAGGCCAGATTGGATGGGACTTTGAGCATCCTGGTCTAATGGAAGGTGTCCTTGCCTATGGCTGGGGGTTGGAACTGGATGGTCTTTCAGGGCTTTCTAACCCAAACCATTCAATCATTCTGGGAGCATTAGAAAAGAGTTATGAAATACTAAGTCAAAGATGTGCTGTGCTGGCCAGGAGCAGAACAAGGAGTTTTCAATGATTCTACTGACATCTTTAAGAGAGACACTTGGACCTTAATTTTTCTCATTTAGAGAAAAAAAGCAGCTTAAAATTAGCAGAATGACTGCCATATTTGTTTATATTTTGTCAGTGAATACATTTTGTTTCTATACCTCATGCCTTATTGATAATTTTATCTATTAATATATGCATCACACATGGACTATCAATGACATTAACTCTAAAATTTAAAAAGGTAAATTTTCAATAAATCAACCATGCCTCCTGCTTACTTTCTCTGGGGTCTTAGGAAATTATTTGAAGCATGCCAGAAGCATAGAGGAGGGCTCAGGAAGTTTGGTTGGCTTGAAATGTGCTACTGTGTGTTGCTATAAGAATGCTGTTTGGAGTCTCTTGCTGCCACATATATTTTTTGGAAACATAAATCAGGCACTTCAGTTTGATGTTGTAGTAGAGCTGCAAAGCCAAAGAGTAGACCTCCATTGTCAGAAATATTAAGCACAGGGAAAAGTAAATGAATGCTGTGCTATATGCTTTATTACTGCAGAAGTTTCACTTGTGATTTTGCCTTAGTTAAAATGCAGACATGTTGGGCAATCTCTGTGCCTTCTCCTGTTCCTAGGTCAAAAGGTCCTCCTGGACATTACTTCTTTTCAGGCTTTCTGAGGAAGAAGATGAAGCTGCTGGCTTCAGTAAGTACAGTGATGCTTATCTTTTCCTTCAAAATTGAAGGGAATTTTGAGCTCTCCTAATTTTTTAAAATATACAAATGGATTCCCTATGTGGAGATATTTAAATAAATGTATGTAGTACATTCATAATGAAGAATAATCAAACATTCTCAATCTCTCATTTACTTTTGGTTAGAGAAAGAAAAAAAAGGTATTTTTTAGCAAGTCTCATTATTTGAGGGCCACCTCAAGGCTTCAGAGCCCTGAGCTAACAGTGCCACAGAGGCAACAGGGTGTTCTGTGGAAGGGCATGACAGGGGAAGTCCTGTGATGTTCTCAATCCAGTTTCAGAAGGGAAACTAAAAAAGCCTTCTTTGAAGAGATGTTTTGGTTAATGTTATATTTCCTGATATTCCCAGATTACATGTACAGTAGAGTCAAAAGAGTATTCAAAAATCTCAAAATAGAACTCACGATAATCAAAATAGGACTCCAGTAGTACAAATAGCATTCAAATCAGGGTGCAGAAATAGCCTGTGCTCAGCTCACCACTGTTCCCCTGCTGAACCCAGCAGTGGTGGGACTGTGATAGCAGCAAGGCTGCAGCCCTCTCTGTCTACCCTTAGTGCCATGCTGCTCCTCTGAGCTCTCCAGTCTTTCTCCAGATCATAAGCTTGCTGTGGCATCCGCAGCTATGGTCAGACTTCCTAACTGTTTTGTCAATATAAATAGTAATACTTTTATGTTGGGTCTGAGTAGTCATATCATGTTTTTGGCCTTGGCTTACTGATGTAATTTTAGAGAATTAGTTGGAAAAGGCCCATGAAAAGTTGAAAGTGCATGTATTCTGAGGAAAAAAAAAAAAAGGAATTAAAAATATAGTTGTTTACACTTATGATCTGAAACACGTTATGACCTCAGAAGAGTTATCACTATTGAACCCTGCAGTATGTTTTTACAGAAAGGGATTAGTGGTTCTTTCTCCTCCTAGTGCTAACCCACCCTCCTACCCCTCCCCCCCCAAAAAAAAGCACCTCACAAAAAAACACCACCACCAAAAAAAAAAAACAACCCAAACCCCAACCAGAAACCAAACCCACGTTAACGTTGTTAGCAGTGTAATTGCCTCAGTCCTAAAATGTATTTCTCTGCTGCGGTTGGCAGTGCTGGGGAAATAGCTGGCTAAGTGATTCTTGGATTTTAAACCACAAAAGGCTGATCATGAGTCCAATATTCACTTTCCAGACTTGGGAGGAACATGATTTTGACCTCAGAAAAGGCACAATGCTTGTACTCATTAACATCCTCATAGGTATTTTTTTCTTTAAGGGAGGCTCCATAGAAATACCATAGTGTCCCTGTCATGTTGACTCCTTTTATCTCTCCATTTTTTGTTTTTTTTTTTTTTGCATTTGCAGGTCATGGCCTTAAACTGGTAGCCTTCCAGAACAGGTCCTGGGTCTGCCCATGATAAAATATAATATATGTGATGGAGAACAAACCCCAGCTTTGCTCCAATAAACATATAGTATTTTCTGACTTTGTAGAGATGTCAATTATTAGGAACCTATGGTATACAAGGTAGTTTCTGATTAGGAAAAGAGAATTTACAATGACTGGAGCATTCAATTTTTGGGTGGTTGGTAGGCTTTAACATGCACATGCCTTTATTGGATGCTGTAAAGTGGGCAGTGAGCCCATCTGGCTGCAGGGATAAGGCAGGTCAAGTGGGCTCTCTGAAGCACGTAAGTATGGCTCAAACCCACCAGGATTTAATGGAGAATGAGAGGTCACATTTTGGGGAGGGTCCTGGGGGAACAAGTAAGACCTGGGGAAACATGCAATATACTAAAAAATCCAACACTGTTATACAAGAAAACAAGTCCAAATGGTACCTTAGTTACGCAGAAATTGATATTACAGTTTGTGAGACACTTCTGATAGACCAGAAGACAAAACCAACACAAGTGATAGACTACATCTAGGTCTACTAGTGAAGTAGTGAAGTGGTGATAATGAAGAATGGTGAAGAAGTAAAAATGAGAAAAACTCAGAATCCAAATTTTAACTAAAAATTCAAATGCAGGTATTTCACTGCTCTTATTGGCTTTCTGAAATACACTTGTACTAACAGAGTTTTATCTCCATACATTTCAGTGGAGATCAGATACCATGTCAGTAGCAAAAAATTTGCTTTAATTATGAAATGAATATAATTTGTAGTAGAAATTGAAGTAGTTTAGGTCTCAATCTTGCAAAGAGTTTTATGCTTGTGTCTAATTACTTCTAATGTCTCTAAGTAGTCCCATGATGAATCCTATTGAAGAAAATGGTTCTGCTCAACTAGGGTACAGATAAGCATATGAATGTGTCTTTGCAGGGTTAAGGTTTGGTTTACAATTGTACAAATTCATTTTCACTAGAGATCTCAAAACAAGAAACTTGAATTCAGAGTTAAAAATACATTTTGTTTTCACTATTTTATTGCTCCAGTTTCTAAGAAAAAGACTAGATACATTAACCTGTTGCATCATATACTAAGCCATACACAGTGCTTGCTTCTGTACATAAGAAAAGGTTTAAAACCTTCATTATTTCTGCCAGCCTGATTTCCATCCTTGCATAGCCTGTCATTCACACCAACTGAAGTATTTCCACTATCCCTCAGAGAAAAGCAAAGCCAATTAATCAGACTAGCCACCTGTTTATGTAGTTTAGATCACCTAATCAAAAACAAGTGAGTTACAGCGATGGAACATTCAGTTCAGATAGCAAATAACACATATCAAATATTGAGAGGAACAGTGTCTTGGTGTTTTGAGAGTAGTAATCCCTGTTTATAAGTTGACTTATAAATGGCCAAATATTCTGAATTTTAGATCATACAATGTATTTGCTGTAACTTAATAATTTTCTAAATAAAAACAAATGAGGCGAGATATTTGTCCCATTAAGAATGTGTAAGTGAAAGTTTGCAAATAATTAGATATCTAGGATATGTTAAACTGATAAACATTTTAAATTACTTAAACATTAATAAAGAGCACTAAAGAGGGTTTTTTCAACTAAGACATTATTTTCTGATGAAAATGAGAAAAATTCTGTATCAGTGAAAAATTGATATGAACTGATGCTGAAAAATCCGTGAAGTAAAGTTCCAGTTCATAAAATAAGATTTCTTTTACTGACAAACATCTATACTTAAAAGACACAGGCACATACCTATTATAATCACTCTTGAAATTTTGAATTTGTATTACAAATTTTCTTAAAACTTAGGTTATCAACGTGACTTCTTCCACTAGGAGTACTGGGATTACAAACAGAAGGTTGAGAAGCATTGTTGTGGGTGTGTGTCCTTATATATATGTATGCAAGCATTACAACAGATTAAGAACAACACATCCCCTGCCTGGTCCTCTGTCTGTGTTTGCTCAGTTCTGAAGTAAGCAGAGATATTAACTTGCTTACATCTAAAAAATACATTCAATTCCTATTTTGATGCACAATGAAGTCTGGAGAAAGTTTTATTTTAAGTGAGAAATCAACTCCATCTTCCTTTCTTCTCTGCATCTTGCCAGTAGCATTTTATTAACCACCAATGTTGATTATTTTTGACTACTTATTTCTCTCCCCTTTCTCCCAGTAGAAGCATGTCAACCAGATCCATGGGAGTTGTTCAAAATGAACCTTTTCAAATATTAACATATTTCATTCAGAATAAAATAGCTTCCTTAGTGCCTGGCCTACTTTTACCCAACTGGTGAAAAGCCAGGGCTACAAAGAAGTTTGAAGAAGTCAATGTCTTCTAGCAGTCTTCCTGTGCTGACCATGGTTTCATTGTGACTCTCCTGATGAACCTGCCCTGGTCTTCTCTCTGGTCAAGAAAATAAATTTCCTTGCAAAACTTTAGGCCTGCTGCTGCACTTGCTGCCAAACTATGAAGACTTCCTTGGGTTTTTATGAGATATTACTAACCATAATGCAACATAGTATGGTAATGGAGAAGAAACGTGTTTCTGTATGTGCTGCAGTGGGTATTGCAGGTGCAATATCCCCTTCCTGTCATGTTTTGCTTTGTTTTTTGTTTGGTTGTTTGGATTTTTTTTATTTGTTTGTTTCTTTGTCTTTTTTTTTACCAGAAATTTCCCAGCATAGGTGAAGAAGCGGCTGGTGTCTTCCCCACCTGAAAACAAAACATTAGGGGAACGGAATGCACATTTGCTAGTGATGCTCAAGGTAATGTGAAATTGCAAATATTGATAAGAAAGACGATGACCTATATTAGTAGCAGGTGAAGTCATAGAGACAAAGGTCATATCATCAGCTTTGGTTAAGATATTTGGGTGAAGCTGGCTGATTGGAAGAGGTGATACTCCAGTGGTGAGATTGATGCTTGGCAAGGGAAGATGGAAGATATGAAAATCGGTCCCCTGGTGAGGTGAGTTGCTTGTGAGCAGAATGAAAATCAGGAATACTTTCTGCAGGGAAATTAGGTTGATTTAAGGGAAAATGTGGGGAGACAAAAAGCCTGGAAACCACTGGGCTATGAAGACCGGAATAGAAGGGGAATGAGAAGCTTTGAGTGAGAAGGCTATAATGTAAAATAACAGGGTTAGTACCATCAGATCTCACAAGACTTTGTGTTTAACTAGGTGCATCAAACACGGTGCCTTCTCCAGCACTTCATGTGCTCCTTTCTTCCCTCACTTGGTATTTAGCCTTTGCTTGTAGTGGTGAATCAGATAGGTCACCCTAGTGCATTGCTTCAGCTTGCCTTGCACTCAGCAGGGCACCAAATTCATGGCTGGTCCTTGCCCTGTGACTCCCAGCTCCTCTTTCCTTTTGCACAGCAAGTTTTCTCTGATCTGAATGTCTTCATCTGTTGTCCTCCATGTAGGAGGCCCTTGTGTTTGGCAGCTGCTGCTGGATCAGGCCTATGCAACTGTTACCACAGCTCTTCTTCTCCAGCTTATCTCCAGGTTATCAGAGTCTGAGGATGAAATCAAAGATCTTTGATCCCAATGAAGCTACACTGCATGTGACAAAAGCATCAGCAGCTGGAAGGCAGAGGGACCAGGACAAGTTTCATCAAGAAAGGACTAGTAGAGAAAGAAATTGCTGCATTGCTGGTTCCAAGAGAAAAACACTCTCTTAAAAAAAAAAGTACAAAAAAAAAAAAAAGAAAAAAGCAAAAAACCCCACAAAACCTAGACACACACACACACAAAATATTGTGGTTGATTTATATTTCTATTATGGGCTTCTCCTGTTAGCTTGTTCATAGAGAAGAGCCGTTCTCTGAGGTACTATTTATCTTTTCTAGAAACTTTCCTCCCCCAAGAAACTTGCATCAATGGAAAGAACAAAAGTTGGGCCTGTGTTTGGAGGAGAAATCTAGAAATGCAATTGAGAAGCTGTATTCAAGACTGCCTGCAATGATTAACTCTTCGGGGGTGTAACCACTGAGCATAAATTGTTGAGAAATGCTTCTCCTTCAAAGACAGGGACTTCAGAAGAGCTGTTATGGTCATTTTAAAATAGTAATTTTAAAAGTTTCTCCAATAGCAGCATTTCTCCCAAATTCTGTTAAGGGAGTGTTTTGAGAATTAAAAAAAAAAAAGGGATTATTCGCAATCAGATTATTATTTTTTTTCTTATTTTGCATGGGTGTCATCAGGAAGATAGGGGATGATAAGAGCAGCTGGGGACAGGATGGGTGCAAGAGTCATGAAGGACAAAGTCAAATCAAGAGCTTGCAGGGTGTAGGAAGCTTTTGCATCCATGAAGGCATGGCTGCTGATTCAAGCCCTTGCCTGTGTGCACACCCAAAAAATACACGTGTTGATAGAAAACAGATTTAAAAGGTAATCGTGAAATTGCTTTAGAGCTCTGGATGTGTTTGGAAGTTTGTGACTGGTTGTCAGTGATGTCATAACCATATTTATTATAGCTCATAAATGGATGGGTCTGACTGTTTTCCTTATTTTAATGTATAAATTACAGTTTATAATGGCAATAAAACACTCCAGGCTGTGCATTTCAGGGTGATTATTGCATTTTTCAGGTGGTTAAAGTTACTCTAACTGCTTTTCAGCTCAGATTTCAATAGTATTTACCCACTGTTTGAGCCATTTTTACTTGTATTTTTATGTACAAACCTCAAATTAAAGTGTTTTATTGCTTTTTAATTAAAATGTTGAAGTGTAAAGAAGGAATGGTCACAGGCAGATAGTCACGGTAGTAGGTGTTTTGATGTGAAAGGAGAATGTATAAGAAGGTAGATGGGCAGCGGAGATGTGCAGTGACTGTCACTCTGGGTATTTCACAGGTACCCACTACTAGTTCCAGTAAATGCATGGTTGAATAGAAATATTTGTGAGCCAAAGGAGCTGGTGTCTACCTCATAAAATCTAGAACTGAAAAATTATGGACTAAATGGCTGAAAACCCTTAATTAAGTGCTCAACACCAATGTGCCCTCTTGGTTGAGGCTGATGTTTGCCATGCAGAGCCTGTGATGCCTCAGCTCATGGTGTTCCTGAGTTCTAAGAGGGGGGAAAACAATCCTCTGGTCTTCTGTGCTCTGACTCTGAGATACTGACCACCTCACACATGGCTGATTGTACAGGGAAGTCTCCAAATCCAGTGGCAATGGTGGGCTTTTAATAGCATGTAGTTATTCCAGAAGAAAAAAATTCTTGGGTACATGATTGAGTTACTTCACCAGTTTGGCCCATGTGCAGGGTGAAAGGTCTGCTCATTGAAATCCTCTTGGATGATGTCATGTCTAAGTCTTGCTTGCTAAATCAAAGCACCAAAGTCCTTGTGTTACATGTATTCATTGAGTGGGGGAAGCTATGTCTGTGCTAGGAGAAAGATAGTCCCATGGAGAGATAGGGCTGCTCCCTGTTGCTGTTGGACTTACGTATCCACGACTACATCATTCCTTC